GGTTGCGATGGGTCAGGAAATTACCCCAATTCTCTAAGTCGGGGTTAATCTTGTAGGCATGCCATGCTGCATCCCTTATCGCCAGACATTTTCGAGTCCTACTCCTTATAATTGAAGGCATTTTCGCGGGGCGAAGGGGTTTGGTCTCTGATGCTTTGTTGACGATGTCGCTGAGCTTATTAACGAGCTCTGCCCAAACGTTGTCAAGGGGACTTTGTTTGAGAATTCCCAAGCAGCTGCGTCGGCGAGTTCTTTCAATACGTGGTAGCGTGTGATTGTATGAGTTAGTTCCGAGTGTTCAGATGGATACTCTGCATAACACATATAGTCAAAAGTTATTACTACATGGTCACTGAGAACTAATGGACTATCCATCAATAACATGTCAACCATGAGCTCTTCATTCGTGAGCACAAGGTCCAATATGTACGGTTTGTTTGCTGTCCTGAATCTAGTGAGCGTGGTGAGATGATTGTACAAAGGAATATTAGCAATTAGTTTATGCAAGCTGCTTTGAACTGATCACTGGGCGATGCCGAAACCTCCAGATTGTGTAGATCGAAGTCCCCGGAGATGAGAATGTGGCTGTACCTAGTGCGTGTTACTCTGTTTAGGCCAAGGATCAAGCGGGAATTCATTTCCGGAGTGGACGTTAGGGAGGCGGTAAACGACAGCTACTAGACACGTGTCGTTGTGTCTCAGACGGAGACGGCACCAGAGTGAGTCAGTAACGTGTGTTTCCAGATCATCAACGGTTGTACATTGTAGATTGCTGCGGTAGTAGAGTAGGAACCCACCTCCTCTGCTGGGGCGGTCGTTCCGGATGAGTGACATTCCGGCTATCTCAACCTCAGCATCAGTCATCTCTTGGTATAACCAAGTTTCGGTAATAGAAATTACGTCCCAAACATTCGCAACCTGACGTAGTTGAAGTTCGGTAATTTTAGTAAGGAGCCCTTGGGCGTTAGTGTACATACATGAAAGTTTCTCGGATTTAAGCAAGGTTTCGGAGGTTATGCAACTCATATGTGAAGTTTCGCCGACCAGTGAGTGGCCGGCGACTAATCGTTTTTCCGATGTCTGCTTGGTGAAGGGTTTAACACTTTACTCATCGTCCGTGTAGTTAGTCCTGCATCTGATCTGCGACGTACAGTGTAAGGTGTCTGGTCAATGTCATCTTCTACAGGTTGTATGGGCTCATTCGGCACACTACTGGTGCATTGTTCTCTCATAGATCCTATCGCGTTTGGTTCTTTGAGTGACATATCTTCTCTAGGAGGCATATCGCTGATGGTCTTCAGCCGAACCTCAGATGGTAGCTTGCAACGGAATATGTACCAGCTTTATAACTTCCGTGCTACCATATGTTTTGACTGTCGCAGAAACGCGATCGTCCAAGTAAGGTCTCCACCTTTCCACCCACAATCGAACGGGCAAGCGGAACGCTTTGTGGATACACTCAAAAGAGCTTTGCTAAAGATGAAGCGGGTAGGTACCTCGGAGGAGATTCTTGACACATTTCTGCTGACGTATCGCACAACTCCGAATCCGCAGACACCGAACGCCCTATCTCCGGCTGAAACTTTGTTTCAAAGGAAAATCCGTGTGCCGCATGATGTCCTCAGGCCCAGGAAGGATCAGTTGCTGTCCCGCAACTATCACATGGAGCGACAATTCAACATCCGACACGGTGCTCGGAAGCGAAGCTTTAATGTTGGTCAACAAGTTCTGGCAAGAGACTATCGCATCCACCATCATAAATGGGCTATGGTCCATGTGTTATACAAACGTGGTAACGTGATCCACGGTATCCAGGTTGGGACGGCAATTTGGGTAAGACATGCCAATCAGCTGCTAGAGGCACGAACTGGGGAACAAGTGCAACAACAAGTATCAGCAACGCAGTTACCTCTGGACATCCTGACCTAAGCCGGTGAAGCGAAGACTCCCCAACATGCCCCAACAATGCAAGCACAAAATTCACCCCGAAACCCAGCAGCACAGCGGCCGAAGCGGCGACGCAAATTCGTATCACCCATGCAAGTCAACCCCAAGCTGAAATCGTACAACACAACTCAAAGGGGGAAGTGTTAGGAAGGAACACACGAGTCGAACAAGACAGGACCCCATCGCCTCGGCCGGCTATCCAAACTCATCCGCCCTGACTGGGGCGAACAGAGAGCCAACCAGGAGAAGCGGCCAATGAACGCTAGATTGAAGTTCCTTTATTGGCTGTAAGTTAACCTTTCCATAGCTTTCCACGGTCGCTTTATTATACTATTCACGAACTTTCCATTTAACCTTTATAATGAACGGTGTGATTTGCTAATACATTCCTGTTCCTCTACTCGTCCGATTCGGTCTTCTCTCTGTCCTGTGTGGGGCGGCAGCGACTTCGGGTTTGATTGGGAGTCAAGCGTCCATTCAGGCGAGGGACGAACACTTCAACTGCCATGACAAATCTGGTCAAATTGGGACGCCAGAACTATCTGACATTGTTACCCATCTTCTTGGTCAAAATTAGACAAGCAAGCTGCCTGCTTATGCCATTTTCTACCGCAACGGTTGCAAGTGTAAGCTGCGAATGGAAACTTGCGGGGAAAATGGCACTCTCTACAAAACCAACATGCAGTGGGAGGTTTAGAATGCGGTGAACTCACGTGGGGAGCTTCTTTTTGGAGGGTACGGCTAACAGCACCGACAAAATCTTGATCATTCTGATTGGACAACTGCTGAATCATTGCGGGATCGTGCTTCAGATTTGTCATGCGTTGACACTCACCGGTCACTTGCTGCAATGTGAAATCCGGATTCTGCTCAATTTGGTTCAGTATTCGTGTTCGAATGTCGGCGTCTTTGGATGCTCGTAGGCCACAAACCCATATGAGACATTTAAACTGATCACTTGTGTAGTTGTGACCGTTCGCGCTCGCGGTTGGCACGACTGGAATAGTCGACCCAATCTTCGTCTTTTTTTGTTATTGCCAGACACTCGTACCGGATGTTGAACAAAGATGTCTGCTCTCCGAATATTTGCGACAGGACTGCGACTACTTCATCGAACGATAAATCGGTGCTCTTTATAGGTAAGATAAACTTGGGGTACTTCTCGTGTTCGACAGCACCCCGCTTCTGCAGCATCAGTTAAATCTTCTTTTCCACTGGAAGGTTGGCGAAATCAATCCGGAACATGTCTTCATACTTGTGGAACCAATAAACAAAGGTTATACCGGCATCAGCGTCATAATAGAACTCACTGATCTGCTGATTCAGGGTTTATGGTGAGGGAGCACTTTCACTTGTCCCTAACCCTGGGCTTGACTGCACTGTCAGTTTCTGAGTTAGCATCACGATTAGCTTGGCGTGGGATCCTTCTAACTGCGTCTGTTTTTGCTGCAAAAGTATCTGCAATTATTCAAAACTGATTGCCAGTTCTGGGTTCGACTGTACTCTCGTCGCCAGTTATAACGGTTTGCCAGCAATCAACTAGTTGATTCACGCCTGCTGATAAATCTGCGCCCTTACACCTGCTCTGTTTGACGCCTTGGCAAAGCCGACAGGAAGGAAGACAGAAGATGACTCAGCCGACCAGAATTGTATTAGGACTGAGAACGCTCATATTTATATGTCGGTCTCACCAATCCTCTAAACATTGCTTGGCGGATTTGGCTGTAAGCCCACGCTCCACACTTGTTCGTCCGCATCGTCTGGACAGTTCGCCGTCTTGCCCGGGCACGCCAGTCTTCATCCGCCTCCCCGGGGCATGGCAACGCAGGTGACGTCTTGTTCGACTGCTGGTTGTGTCGATAGCTTTGTAATCTGTTTTGGGATACGCTCTCCAATGTGCTTACCCAAGGATCGATCTGCTCTGCCAATGTAACTACTTCCTCAGCTACAAACGAATTAGTAAATACAATGGGTTGTGGCGGAGATGGACTGAGTAGGCTTCACTGGAGGCATAGGCAACTTCCTGGTCTCCCAAATGGGACAAAGTTTGGCGGCATTGAATGTCCGGCGAATCGCTGTAAGCAAACGTCTTTCAAGTTGAGCGATTACGATATCACCTTTGAAAGGTACTTGAAGGTAGTAGACAGACAGTTTGAGCACAGTTAGTATCCTCGGCCAGTTTTCTTTCAGTTGACTATGAAATCTAATATGCACCTCTGGATATCCGTTGGCCCGTAGCGTCTGTGTGATGAACAGTCGTCAGTGCATATGTTGCGGGCTCGAGTAAACAGCGTCTAGACTAAGCACCGCTTATATTGGATAGGGGCGAAGCTGTTAAGTCTCCCTAAAGCTTCCTTGGGGCTATTGACCATAAGGTGAAACTCGTCGATCTGTTAATCTGCTGTCTATGATCACTGCACCCCAGTGTCTTTATGAACGTTTACGCCCGATAATTTTTTTAATTTTACACTGATGTTAATTATCAAAGTATTCATCTCGGCAGACGTTCGGTAGATGACCCAGATATACTTTGACTTCATCATATTCACCTCAACCATCCTACGGGACCTGTCAAGCACTTGCTTTTATCCCGTGATAAATCATTGTTCATTGTTTATTGTAATTGCCCTTCTTGACCAGTTTCAGACCTCCGATTTTTCCGTCACATGATTCATATGCATGTTTTTATTTTGCGAGTGAGCAGATATAATGAAATGGTTCCATCTCGCAATACCAGTCTTCTCGGTGTCACATTTAGGACACTACAATGTCATTACAGTCAGTCAGCTGACATTCCAGACCAGTTACATTGACCGCTGCATTCAAATTACAACTGCCAAAAAATCAATACAGTTTCTCAGAACTTGGCATGCTAACGTTTAATGGCACTGAGAAACCTTCTTTTCTGTTCTGGCCTTATGAATTTGTGTGAGCTTTAAATATGACAATGGGAATGCATGCCACCAATCTTTGAGAAATTTTGTAACGACGATGCACAGTTATTGACTCCACCATCACTCCAGTTCCCGTAACTGAAGAATTGTAGGTGCGGGATGACATTTAGTCGCCTTTCACCGTCACCTAAAATCGAAAGTTCATCCAGTCCTTCGAGTGTGGAGTCAGCAGGGTCTACATGGCACACTCAAAATGGAGAAAGTGGAGACCATCGGATGGTCATAATATACGGACAAGAGAAAATCCTACTAAACAATACATTTGACAAGTGAGGAATTTTTCGAAACAATTAAGCTCTCCAATCGGTGTATATGATTTAGGTTGATCTGTTTTGATTAGTGTTGGATAATTAGTAATCCTTTTCGGCGGCCTTTACATGGAAACCATATTAGGCTTCATACAAGCTGCTTCACAGAAAACATTTATAATAACCTGGATGTTGGCAGAGTCAAGGAGATTGAATGCAAGTATACTTTGAAATTCTGACGGCTGTTAGACTATGTTGGGTATGTCGTAACTTTTACTGGCTACTTTGCCTGAGTTATCTATAGGGAGATATCTTTAAACAGTGTAGAATTGGACATGGATTCGCGAGAAACACACTGCTACTGGGGATCTGACAAATTAGGTTTCATGGGAGTGGGCTTAGTGGTACTCATATTCAGATAGGAGGAGCTATTGAGTATCGAATGATGACTCTTAATTAGCCCCGTATTCTTTTGTTAACACTCTATATCAACTTGGAGATTCACCTGGGTGGATGGTAACCTGGTGGGTAGATACAGGTCAACTACATTAGTTTCGGTTGGCTCTTCCTAAACAGTATGTTAACAAGCGCACCTAACGGCTGATCTACCGGAACAGTTTGGCAGTTTAGCTTCAGTTGACTTACCATCATGAGGAGACAGGTCCTTGACGTGGTGCAGATAGTCTGATTACCCCAGCGATCCTTTGTCAGGTCGGGTCAGTTTCCAAGGACGATAATAGGCTCCCGCCGAACGAGCGTCTTGTTTCTTGTACCAGAAAGCAAACCAGCGCCCCCAGTACTTCGACTTCGGAGTTGTCTTCCTTGCCTAGGAAAAAGAATGAAGCAAGACAGGAGCAACCTTCGTACTTCCTTGGATCATAGACCTAACTGTCTATCACAACTGCCAATAAATTTACAATAATTCAGGGAAAAGATCCCGCCAACATTTATCCGGGCCGTTTTCGAAAGCTGTTACAGTGGCACTTTCACTTAAGGCAGAAGGAATTGTGTTCCAATTATGAACAACCTGTTGTGAAGTATTTGGCCCTAACCTCCAGCCTGAATCTCTGATTCTTACTCTTACATTCATGCCTCCGTAGGTGGTCAGATGCAGCAAGTTCAAAACAATCAGTGGGCTTGATCTCGTTGAGGCCCCTCATAATCTCGAACATTTCTATCAGGTCGCCTCGTACCCTGCACCGCTCCATAGCGAACAATCCTAAGCCCCTTAGGCGTTGCTCGTATGATTTCCCGCCCTGGCCCTTGATCATCCTAGTCGCCAGCTTCTGGACCTTTTCTATGCAGGTCACATCCTTCCTGAAATACAGCGCCCGTGCCTTCACGCAGGCGGGGTCGTACCACCGCCTTATGTAATGGGAAGAAGACCTCTGGCTTGGTGTTGCATAACGTTCTCTTGAGGCGGAATGGCTCCTGCCGCACCTTGTTAACCGCATGCTGACACTGCGCTGAGGTGTGGAAAGTATTCGTCATAATGATACCAAAATCTCGCCCCTCGTCAACGGACCGCAATGTCAGGGTGCCGACAGCAGTTTGAGCTGCAACCCCATCATTGCTGGAAGACAATAACCGACATTTACTTGCGTTAAGCGGCAAATCCCGTGAAGAAGACCATCTTGCTACAATGCAAATATCTTTTGAAAAGGTGCCTCGATCGTTCCTATTTACATGTGTTACATCATTTGCAGATATAGCGAGGGTTCTCGAGGAGCGAAGCCAAATCATTGATATCTAAAAGGAACAACAACGGGTCAAAAATAGAGCCCTGAGGAACACCGCTGTGAGCAGTATTCTCACTTGAGCATGAGTCAGCGGTTCTAACTCTGGAGTTTCTCTTGCAAAGAAATTCCGCTTTCCAATTCAACAGCTGGGATGTATCTCAAACCATGATGGCTTTTCAAATAGGAAACGATGGTTGACGGAATCAAAGGCCTTACTGGAGTCAAAATAACAAACTTTGACTGAGATACCATCATCAAGACATCGAGTTATCTCATCTAAAAAGTACAAAAGATTGGTGAGGCATGACTTATGCTTGACGAAGACATGCTGCTCCGCTCCTATCAAGTCATGAGCAACTAAGTATCCACAAATCCGGTTCCTGATAAGTGTTTCTAAACATCTGAGCATAACGCTAGTAAACCTGACTGGCTTATAGTTTTCAGGGGCTGATTTAGAGTCTCCCTTTTGAATTGTTACAACAGCTGCCTCTTTCCAGTCTTGCGGCAGCCTAACTTCCTTAACTGACATGTACAAATCCAAGACAAGCGACTTGATGATAATAAGATGCGCATTATCAGGTCCAGCCGTTTTTAGGGGTCTAAGTGAGTCAAGACATCGAGGACTTCGGATGCACTTAGTGGAGCGTCTGATATTATACTCTCGACTCGGCGATGAGACTGTGAGGAGATAGGACAGCCGCTGTCAACACGATATACCTTTTGAAAGGCACGCAGCAACACCTGTGCCTTATCCGCATCATCTGTAGCATGGCAACCGTCCTCCAGGATTAAGTTACCGACCCCCTCTCTCAAGGAAGCCTTCGATTGAACATAGTATATCTTCGGATTTGTTTTCGCTTTCTGTGCAAGCCTTAGCTCATAGCGGTATTGAGCATGTCTCTGCAGTTTGACTGCCAAGTTCCGGGATCTTTTGTAGTGTAGCCAACGCTTAAACCCTCCGGTTTCCTGAAACATTTTCCAAGAATCGTTGCGCTTCTTTATCGCCCGATCAATCCGCCGACGCCACCAGCGGAGCTTATCGGGATGCTTACTGCGATGCAATGGAGCAAATTCGTCCAGCAGTTGAACAAGTCCATCTTTGATTACGCTCCATCGCTGTTCTAAAGTGGCTTGCGCTTGTTCAGGAGCCCAGTTGATCTGTAGAGCTCTATCCCGTAACTGATTAGCGTTGATGCGACCGAAGTTTCTCACCAGTCGAGATCTTGCCGATAATCGCTTGGTATTCAGTGAAAATGTGAGAACGCAGTGGTCACTCTTACCTATGGGAGCCTCTGCATGAACCTCTGACAAGTGACCATGCTTTGTTATTACGACATCTAAGGTTGAAGGCGAGCAGCCAATGCGTCTACGCGTCGGGAAGTTGACATGCTGGACAAAGGCATTCACGTGCACCCATTCCACCAGTTCTCCTTCCAGGGTATCTACAGTGCCAGCGGCATGTTCCCAGTCTGCATGTAGGAAGTTAAAGTCACCGATAATCACAAAGTTAGGAGCAGTTGCTACTGTCCGTCTGAGCAAAGTATTAAGCTCCTTGTCCTCCACTCGCGTAGAGGAGGGGCTACGGTATATGTAGATAATTATCTTCAACCGACCCTCCAATATCAGGAAATAAGAAACAACTTGTATATTCGACGTCTTTATGGAGAAGGGAGCCTCCCAATTCCAATAGAGGGTCGTAATAAGCAAAAGCACGCCTCTGCCGACCTGATTTCCATGTCTATACAATCTATACGCGGAGATACCAGTCAGTAAGTCATTGACTGGATCACTTTCAGAAAGCCAGGTCTCGGTGGCCGCAACTATGTCAGCAGGTTTACAGCTTACTGCCAACTCTTCGCATTTATTCCTTATGTTACAGGTTGGTATATCACACTCTCAACCCCTTTCTTTGTTCTTTCCTTCCCGGTACGTTTATTTTGCTTTGCCCCTAGAGCGTAAAACCCGAGGGGATAACCCGATTTTTGAAGCACTATTTAGATCATCCTGCATTCAGACAACTGGAGAGTGAGAAACCCAAACGGGTTCTTGTGACTCACCGCGGGACGCTTTCCGATAACTCGATCTTGATCTGCTTCCCTTTCTGCCAGTTCCGTCAACCGTTTTACTCATTTGGTTAGGCCCATCTACACTACATGTTGTGCTGCCAGTATGTCAACTCTGCGCTTTTATTAGATCGTGCTTGGTGCTAACCAACACACGATTGCATTTAGCCTCCACAGTGCTATCCACCACAGAGGATAACGATGCTATCGCCGTTGACGCTACAACTTCAGGCGAATTTGATCGGCTACAGTTTGCGACTGGACCCGAGATGGCTGCTTCACTCCTATTTTCTACCGTCGACGGTGAAGTCACGTCACCCAATAGCACCACCCGCTCAGTACTCACACACGGGCTATGATACCCATGCTCTAAAGCTTGAAGGGGGTTAGAATATAATTTATGGGCCGTAAATTGGTTGTCCTTTCGAGGTTCGACCATGCAGGGCACTTGAGTAAGAGGAACACAATTTTGCGCTGCTTCTAGCTCCTTGTCACAGCGCACTAGAGGTATGCTTGGTTGCGTTTATTGCACCTTCATAGCCACTCATACTAGATTGGTCAGTGCTAATGACCAGACGAACTCTGTCTGCTGGCCTTCCAGCTTGGGGACTGAAGTGGGGATGGTTCCTTACTTATTAAACAGAATCTAGGTAGCCTATTACCAAAGTTTTATTGGCTTCTGGCCTGGTTTTCGGACCGAAGGCTTTGGTTGAGAACCTCAATTCTTTTCCTGTTTAGGCCTGGAAAATTTGACCGTATCTTGCACACGAAATGCATAGAAATCTGTTCAAACGATTATTTGCTGGTCTTAACGTCGCAGAGAATAATCGACGAGTCCACGTCTTCTGAATCAAGAGCAATGGATGCAATCCATCCGTATCATTGTGCACGTTAGCTAGAGGTGAAAAACACCTCAGCCGCAATACAAAAGTAAAGAAGAAAAAGCGCATGAGACAGCGACACCAGTAACGGATGGAAATCGTTCCGGATACCTAACAACCGGTTATGGTGCCGCAAAGCAGAGTTATATTGTGCCTAGAAATTAGATCGTGTTTTGTTGGGGAGGCTCAGTGGGAAGGAGAGAGACAAAAAGTCACAACACAAACGCCAATGAGGTAGGTTCCTAACTATGTCAACAAGTGTATCCAGCCAGATTTGTTCATGATTTTCCGATCCGCCTTCTCACTCAAAAGTCGAACGGAGATAGGAATTTTGAAGT